TGTGGTGCTGGGGGATTGAACCGCGGTCCCTGTGCTTTGCTAAGCTTGTTCTAAGTAGGTGCTTTAGACCACTGAGCCATCTCACCAGCCCCTGTTATCTCTTTTATTTTGCTCTTTATTTACATTGTGGGTTCTCATGTCAGAAAAGTCATGCGATAAACTTGTATGTGTAATTTATTTAATATTATGGTCTCAAGGTAATTCAGGTTTTTATTTTATTTATTTATTTTTGGTTGGCTGGTTCATTTGGGTTTTTTTGAGACAAGGTTTTGCTGTATAGTTCAGACTACCCCTGAACTGTGTAGTCCAGGCTGGCCATGAACTTGCAGCAATCCTCCTGCCTTAAAGACAGTAGTTTCTTTACCAGTAATAGTTTCATGTTGACAAAGTAATGTAAAACTAAACATTCTGATGATGAGGAATCGGTATTTGCTGCCAGGGGGTGCCAGGAGAGAACAGTCGTGCAGCTGTGTGCCCTGCCCTAGCCAGGAGGAGCAGCAGCAGCTGAGGCCCGGCTGCTGAGGGAGGGCTTGCCTGCCTGTTGGTGCTGAGGTGCAGACCTTTCTGATTTTAACATACTCACTCCAGGCCCGCATTTCTGAGCTGGTGGTCCGTGCGTGCCTGTACTACTTCTCCTACTGGAAGTTCAAGCCAGCAAGAGTGTGTTTATGTCATCCCGTTGGTGGGTTTCTTCATGTGCATACCTATCTTCCCACAATATTCATTGAATGACTTTTTGTTTGCCTTCAGATTGTTTGGCAGGTTTGAAAATTGAGCACATGCGTGTGTGTGGGTTGTTAGGTGGGCACTCCGTGTCCTGGTTGCTGGAGCCGTGGCTTGAGCTTCTCAGGCCCTGCGTAGCTTGGCCTTTGGAGGCAGGTCTGTCTTTGGGCTGCTGCCTCCTCTGCATCCTTGGGCTGCCGCTGAGCACATCCAGGGAGTTTCTATTTGAGATGTTTTCTTTTAAGTTCTAGGGGTCTTTCGTTGGCTCTCCGTAGGTTCTGTTTCCTGTCGGGCTTTCTTTATTGCCCTTTATTGCTGTGTGCTTTCCTTTATGTTCCTGGGTGTAGCTGTGAAAGCCCCTGTAAAGTCCTGGGCTGCTGTCTTGGGGCTGATGTCCGCTGGCTGTGAGTGTGGCTCATGTTTTCTTGCTTGTTTGTAAGCTTGGACAGTTTTGTATTAGATTTGGGAGCTGGCTTCCGTTCCTCTTCCTTTGGAGGGTAGTGAGGTTTGTCTTTAATACCTCAGGCCGCTGTGGGGGTGGGGCTGAGCCTGGTCAGCCTTGCACCTTGGCCTTCCTGCGCCGGGTGTGTGGGGGAGGGTGGGGGAAGGGGACAGCGCCCCTCTGCAGGGGCCCTTCATGCTGGCGGCATGCCAGTGCTAGGGCACCCCACCTGGACACTCTCCTGAGCGCCATTATATTCCTGCAAGTACACACTCCTCGTCCACATCACTAGTGTCTTTTCATTTTGTCATCTGTCACTTAGAGTTTATGGTTGTCTGGAATATGCCCTTCGACAGTTTCTTTTATTAAAAAGTTGTTTGTTTTTGGGTTTTTTTTTTTGATGATATAATTAGTATGTGCTCATTATGGGACATTTGGAAAATTTAGAAAGTCCACATACAAATTAAAAGTTACCCATGCCAAGTGAGGTGTGGCTCAATGGTAGAACCCCTGCCTGGTGTGCGTGAGGCCCTGGGTTCCATTCCCAACACGGCCACATAAATAAACAGATAAATAACCTCTAATCCTGCCACAGAGAAGATACACTAGCATGTCATCAGTCCTTCATATCGTCCTTCCTGTTGGTCCACCCTCTGTCCCCTGCTCCTTTCTTCCTCCATCTTTGCCAGGTGTAGCAGGATACCTTCACGCTGAATGTACTGTTCACAAGTGTGTGAACAGACACTATTACATGGTTGGCAGTGAGTAGTTGTGCAGGGTTCTGCAGGGCAGTAGCTTGAAGCCATCCCCTCTTGTTGAGGTCTCTTTGCTTAGATGCCTGTAGCTTCTAATTTAAACACCTCCCTGAGCAGAGTGGACAGATTGAGTCCTGTCCTGACCAACATGACTGTAGTGACTGTTTGCTAGGTTGGTCAATTTCTGATGCCGATGGAGAAGGAGGGTGTTAAGGGTTCTCCCCAAGACTGAACTAGTTACTGTCTTTGTAAAATAGCACAGTGCCTTTTTAGCTCAGTAAAAGCAAACAAAAAAGCACTTTGTTTTGGTGGTACTAGGCCCTGAACCCAGGCCTTGCACATGCTAGGCAAGGCTCTTCCACCAAGCTGTGCATTCAACTTTTTTGATGAGTTGCCCAGGCTGGCCTTGAACTTTTGGTCTTCCTGCCTCAATCTGTGGAGTGGGCTGGCATTAGAAGCATATACCACTATACTTGGCTGATTTTTTTTTATTTTTTAGAGCAGTTTTAGGTTCATAGCAGAATTGAAAGAAAGATCCAGAGGCCCCCTCTCGATCCCTGCCCCACACATAGCCTTTTCCAGAATGTGTGCTGGAACAGCGTAGCAAGGGCTTTTGTAGATATTTTCTTGCTTTTAAACACTTAAGTAACAGTGCCCACATTTCATGTAACTATTATAGGTTGCTAACTGAGAAGTACCAGTTTGATGATCCAAGTTAGATTGGTCGTTAATGGATGCTTTAGTGTCGTTTTGCAGTAGAAGACACTTTCATTTTCCTTGGATTGCTGAGCAGTGCTTAGTGTGAGTTTGGGCTGTCAGTGTGGCTGGGCAGGTCAGCCACGCTGTAGTTGCAGAGCGGAAGCTGAGCCCCTGCTGCCGTTTGCCTGATCCAAAGCAGTTAGGTACCCAAGGACTGCAGATTTGTGCTGATTTGAAATTCCATTTAAAACCAGAGTGGTGTTTTCAGTAGTTCTTTTTGTCCTGCAGAGGTAAGTTAGAACTATGCGGTGTTTACCATGCCAAGTACACCTTCTCTGTGTTTGTTTAAAGGCTGTGTAGGTAGGTGGTGACAGTTCTCCTGTTAAAGGAATGAGGTCAATGTTTGGGATAATTGTGATAGTTGACATTCAGTTTTCTTGGGCGCAGGAGTGAGGGGAATCTCACTGCTTTTTGTATTTCTAGCAGCAGGCCCTGGTGGGGAGCCTGGTGGTGGGGCCCGGCGCTGCGGCAGAGGTGGACCCCTTCCGGAGGCAGCCGGTGATGCCACCCGCAGGTATGTGCCAGGCCCAGGCTCACGGGGCAGCCAGCTGGCAGTGCCTATGCCTGCAGCCTCTAGAGAGCTTACCCTCTTCCTGCTTCTGAAGGTAGTTTTTTCTGGTGATCATCAGCTGAACAAAATATTTACGTGATGCTTATGTGTAGTGGACGTGGAGTTTTTCACCAGATCAGGTGTGTTCCATTTGGATTTTCATGAGGATTTGCAAATGCCTTAGTTACTGTTACGCGGTTGAATGCAGCATCACCTGAGTTTTTAAAGTCATTTTTTAAACTGAAGTTTTCCTTCCCACTCTAAGCACAATAAAAGACTCAAGGTTCTGAAGATGTCGCTTCTGGTTTGGTGCCTGCCTGCTTCCAGCCCCAGCAGTAGTTGCTGTCTCTGCGCTGTGGACTTACACAGACTCAGTGCTATTTATACCTGTGTTACTCTGAAAAAATTCACATGGGCTCACATACACACTGTTGTATCTTTTTAAAGATACTAACCTAGTAGGTGATGCCTGTCTCTCGGGGCCATGTGCCCGCTTCCTTTTGGAGGCTGTGTAGTATTCCCTCACAGAGGACTCATTCATCCCTTATCAGTCAGCTTTCATCGCTGTGTATTTGTTATTGCCCCTTTTTTTGTCACACTTTATAGAGCACCCAGTCACAGATATGTCTGATGCATGTCTGCTTGTCTAGAGTAAAGGCTCCCAGGAAGGAGCTGCCACCTGTGCAGTGGGGCGTGGGGTGTTAACTTCCCCTCCCAAGGGTAGGGCCAGTTCCACTGCCCTCGGCAGTGTCTGGTTCTCTTGAAGAGTGGTCATTTTATTAGTCAGCTGATTTTATGTGACACAGTGCTGGGAACTGAGCTCAGAGGCTGATGACCAATTACGTTCGAGTCCTTGTTCTTTTAACTTTGAGACAGAGCCTTGCTTAGGTGCCCAGATTGGCCTTGAACTTGAGACCCTCCTGCCTGGGCCTCCCTTTCAGCTGGGATTAGAGGCATGTGCCAAAGCGCCTGGCTGGGATTAGAGGCATGTGCCAAAGCGCCTGGCTGGGATTAGAGGCATGTGCCA